ATATATATATATATATATATATATATATATATATGAGTGCTTAACTAAGCATAAAATGGAAAGTTAGAAACCCATTTCTGGGTCTCTAGATGTTCGGTAATGATATATAATGGTCAGTTATATGGTGTGACAAAAATAGCAAAACTGGCCACATCTGCTCTGCAGAAATAATCCAGTTTGACAACACTTTACCTGCCATGGCTTCGTAGTTCTGTGAGACATCTGTCAGAGATCACTGGTTTCCCCAAAAAACTACAAACCCCAGAATTCCATAGCGTTGAGCCACAGCAGTTAAACCAGTGTCAAAATGGGATGATTTCTGCAGAATTGTAGAATTAATGCAGTTCGACGCCTCTTTAACTGTCATGGCTCCATCCAAGGAAAGCCTGGGATTTGTTGTTTGTTTTGGCTCCAGAGTTCTCAGAGAGAAGGCTAAATAGCTTACAGAACTACAAATCCCAGAAATCCGTAGCATGGAGCCATGGCAGTTAAAGCGGTGTCAAAGTGTATTAATTCTGCAGTGTGTATGCAGCCCTTGTTGTAAGCTTTACAAGATGTAAATAAAATAGATTAATAATGCACAGGCACAAATATATACAGTCGCAGCTCCGTTCTCACGGACTTGAGATCCGTGATTTTGAATATTCATGGAGGGGCAACCTCCATTAAGATCAATGGGGCACGCACCCCATTCAAGCCTATGGGGCTTGAATATCGGTGAGTCTCCGTTTTCACGGGGGGTGGTCCGGAATAGATCCCCGGTGAAAACGGAGGGTTGACTGTCATTCGTCCTTGTGTTTTCATATTGGAAGTACAGTCATCCCTCCTTTTTCATGGAGGATCCATTCCAGACCCCTACCCATGAAAATGAAAAAACCCCGCAAATATTCAAGCTCCATTGGCTTGAATGGTCACACACACCATTATTTCCCTCTTGGCTTTCCATCTGCAGAAATTCAAGACCGCAGACGGGAAGTCCGCAAAATAGGAGGAATGTCGTACTAGCAGTTAATTCCCCACCATCACCCTTCCCTTGCATTGGGACGGTTTTGTTAGAAGAAAGTTGGGACATCTGTCTCAAAAGAAGGAGGCACTGAGCCAATCTCCTAATGGCAAAATTGCTAAAGATGTGTGTTTCTTAATTTAAAGGATCCATCCTCCGGAACATTTCAAGCAGAAGTATGCTGTGAACGAAGTACGCTATACGGATGAGGTGAGTTCTCTACTTTTGCTTAAACTTCTTTTGGGGGGTAAACCTATAAAGTGACCTATAAAACTTCAGTCTAGGATGGATAAAGGACTGTTTCACACTGTACAATTTTGCTCAGGATCTGAGAACTTCATGGAAGCAGC